CCACACCAAGACTTGCAAATTTTTTTAACCGAGTCAACATCAGCTGCTTACATGACTTGAAGTGGAAATGGAGCGAAGCTGTTGATTTAATAACATTTACGGCCTCTTTTTTCCAATTTTGAATATGTCACTCCTACTACAATTTTTTGAAGTACCGAGCTTTTCGAAAGTATTTTAACGCGTTTGAGGCTTGACTATTGTATCAAGTTTCTTTATATTTATTTCTTCTGACATTCACTTAGCGCACATAGATAGAGAATACTATTTTGGTTCTGCTCACTGCAGTCATCTGATAGCAGTCTTACTTCTTTCACATCCTCAGGAATCCTGATTTTATTTAACAGACGTTGGAGGGACTTAGCTGGTTTTGTTCATGAACAAGAGCAACATTGTTGGTGTAACGTTGATTTAGCCGGGTTTGGTAAAACTAAGGATATAGCCACGCATCAGCTTTAGTCCGATTTGGAAATAAATGAGCTGATTTATATAGATCTTCCAGTAATTTGGAAACGAAGAACTGTTATAGTATACTACCACAAGCCTTTGACTATGAGATGGCAGCACCCATCGCATTTTTCGTAAATAGGAATTGAGCCGTTTTTGGAAATAGGGGACTCATTATACAAATTGCTGGATTACTACATTGTGTAGAATTTTCTATTCGTTTATAGTAATTAAGGAATAAAGCAGCAAGCAGGAACATAATGACTTTGAGGTGACACACAGCAATTCGAAGTGGACAGTTATAGTTTTTCTACCGACAGTTCATGATTTGGTACGAAATTTATTACAAAAATTTCTTTACGTGACAGACAGAATTGTAATCGGGAAACAAATTGGGAACTAAATTCACTAACGCATTTTTTTACAAAATTTGATACGTAATCATGAACAAAATTTTGCATTGTGACAGACGGACTTAAGTGCCTAATGTCTATTGACCATCATTTCATGAACGGACGATATTGATATTCGTATTATCAAAACTTAAGCGAATGTTCATCCAATATTTAAAAATTACTTAATCTATAATATTAGAGCAACGGTAGGAAAAGGCGGACTTCAAACAGAAAAAGGCAATCGATGTCATTGCAAGTAGGTATAGGAACGGAAAAACATATAAGTTTATCCATTTTCGCATTTCCATCAAAATTAATGCTCTTTTTTTAGAACTCTTGCTTTACATTAAGCTTGCAGCAATCAGGCATTCGCTTTCAGTTATTTCTCCACGCAAACTTCTAAGTATTCTCTTTTTAAGCCCAATTTAGGAGTAACCAAACTTAATTACCAAAAAGCCTAACTTATGTTTTTTTCTCCGGAGATTTCGTTTTGAAGAACAAACTTTAAATCTGCATGAGAATAAGGAAAGTTTTATTTATATATCTTTGTTTACTTTAAACGCCCTAATGCGAACGCGACACGCTGCATTTTGCAACTTCCGTATAAAGACCAGACATTTTATGTACATCTGACATGATCCTTTTGGGGTCGATATTTTGCATACTACTGAAGCTGTTTCACAGGTTTTACTGTGATACTGTAAATATTTTTGCGGATTCCGAATAATGTAACTAACCTTTCCGGGCATACAGAAGCGTCAGTATCTATTGGAAGAATCGTTATATCTAATAAAATATCTTTGGAGGGCTCTGTGTGTAGGTCGCGACTATATAATAAGAGCGAGATGACAAAGTAAATGATCAATTCCAAGCGTTCTTCATATTGTTGGATACCGCACATGGCGTGGGAAGTGTCTCAAATATTTGCCGAGCTGTAATCTTACGACGAACGTTGAACACAATCCTCGTATGTAGTCAACTTTACGACCCAAAAGAATAAACACAGCATCTCGAAAGGATTCATATGATCCTAAAGTAGCTTTCCGCTCTAAGGGATACAAACGCTATAAGGAGCGCACTGAGATTTACACTGCATTAGACATTATGAGAAAATTTACACCTGCTATCACACAGCACAGCTCCACGTTTAGTAGCTACTTTATTAAATTGAGAATGTCTCAGAGGCGCGAGTTATGGTGCTGAAGTCCGAGCAATAAAACTTCATGGTTTTTACTCTACCGATAGCTTTACGAGGCGCTAACTGGTCTTGCCACATCTCGATATATTCTATCTCTCGTAGTCCAGTAAAGAAGGAATTTTCATCTACCACTATACCCCATTCGTAGTCCATTTACGCCGAGCCAAAACATAACATGCCCAAAAGCGAGAATGTACAGGTCCGTATTTTCCTCAATGGGCTTGGAATAATTTAACAAAATAAATGATTATTTTTATGGAAATAGTGCACATACTTTTCACAATTATTTATTCGCTAGAAGTATTTGAATCATCAACCGAATGGTTAATATTAATTATTACAGGTTGAATTTAAATATCGATCATATTGTCCAGATTCCACATCTTTACTTCGATTGTCTCTTGAACGTGACGGATGCAATCTTTCCAATGGTTTGCCGTCACTCTGTTGACAGCTTTATTATTAATTTTAATGTTTTATTGCTTGAAGCCACTTGTTTTTTATATTTTCCCAAATCATTCCAATGGGACTTAATTCACAGTGATTAAAACGGTCTTATTTTGGTTTTTAGCCATTTCGTCGATAACATAGTGGTCCTTTTGAAAGTAGGTATGTCTTCATCACTATTAACATCCTGTAATACTTTGTCTATGGTTGAAAGTTCCTGCCTTTAAAAGAATTGATGGACTTTGCGTCTGATGGCATTCCGATCAAAGTTATCAACTGTATCAACAGCTTGGTTTACTGCAGTCTCTTGTGTGGTGAAGACAATTTTTGTTTTTTCTGTATTCGTTAAGAACTAAGTGTTATTATTCATCATTGTAGTTACGCCATCGCCGCACGCCGAGAGAGAATTAGGTTTAGTTGGTATCAACTACTGCGACGCGCACACGTTTTACGCACGATTATTATTTTCGAGTTTCCCAGTTCATTTCGAGTGGTTTCTTTATCATCATGGCAGACGCAGAAGATCCGCCAGGACCTCGCCTTAGCGAGCACGGGCAAACTTTTACAAATGAAGAATACGCAGACATAATGTTCTGTTATGGACTTTCTAACGGCGATTCTGCAGCTGCCCGCCCTGAATATCGGCAAAGTTTCCTGAATCGCCGAACACCTCATGTTACTGTGTTTGACTTTGTGTATCGGCGCATCCGCCAAACCGGACGTGTTCAAAGGCAACATAGTGATGCTGGTCGACCCCGAGTCTATCCTCCTGAAGATGAAGAGGAAATCCTTCGTGTGTTTCAGGAAGACCCTACTACGTCTACGTGCATTGTGGCTGCTCAGTTGGATATATCACAATACAAAGTATGGTTTACTGTACATACTGCAAGATTATACCCTTATCACTACACGCCTGTGCATGTGATTGAAGAAGGCGATCCTGCAAGACGATTAGATTTCTGCAGGTACATGTTACATGCAGATACAGAAGATCCAGACTATTTTACGAAAATTCTGTGGAGCGATGAATCGAAGTATGATAAGGACGGGATCACTAACTACCATAATGCTCAGTACTGGGCTGATAAAGAAGCTTTAAACCCCCGAAAAATAAGACCGACGGGGTCTCAGAGCCGGTTTTCAGTCAATGTATGGATGGGCATCATTGATGGATATTTAATTGGACCTCATTTTCTGCTCGCCAATATAAATGGAGAAGTGTATGAAGAGTTCTTGAAAAATCAATTGTTTCCATTAATGGAAGACGTCCCATTGGCGACGAGACAAAATGTGCGGTTCCAGCACGACGGCTGTCCCGCACACTACAGTAGATTAGTACGGGCGTATTTAGACTCTAAATTTAAAAAATTAATGGATTGGCAGAGGCGGGACTATTGCCTGGCCAGCAACAAGCTCAGATCTCACACCGATGGATTACTATGTGTGGGAACATGTGAAAAGCCTGGTGTACGATGTTTCACCCGTACCAACGCGCGATGAATTAATTACAAGGATAATCAGTGCAGCTGACCAAATAAAAATCCGCTTAACAACTAGAGTTACCAAAAGTGAATTACGTAAGAGAATGCGGGCATGTATTCGTAACAGGGGATTACAATTTGAGCAGAATCTGTAAACTACTAAAGGAAATGTAATTAAATAAAACTGTAATTAAAATACAAGCCTTTTATTTATCCTACGTAATTATCGTTCGTACAACTTTACTCATCTTTTTTTAATTTTGTCTTTGTACTTGAGTTAGTTGTAACTTTCATACCTCAAACGAGGCTTGTTAGATAGAGATATTATTTACATAATTTGCACATTTCATTACTAGGAGATTTTTTACAGAAAAATGCATTCTTTATCGTATAAGTTAGTAAAACAATAAGAAAATCGTACATTTCAAAAGTGTAATTTTAAAACTTTTGTAAGTTTTCAATATTTTATTACTTATTATGAACTACTGGAATGTTCGCTATGCGACGATAAAAAAAAACTCGAAATCAAACATGTAGTTTTTTTGTATTTCAAATTTAACCGTCTGAAATCGGAATAAAAGATAAAAAAAAAATAAAATTCTAATAAGTCAAAAACGGTTAACTTCTGGATAGGATATTATAGGATAAAATCGGTTGCTTTTGACCTAATCTATCACCCCTTAATAGGAATACGTGTCATTACAAGTCACCCTATATATCTCCTAATATAGGTTTCAATGTATTTTGTATTGTATCTTATATTTTGATTCGTTTAGCTACTTGGGTGATTGTAATTCAAATATAATTATTTTTTCATGTTTTTACAATATATAGGTATATTCTTAATGTATCCATGTATATTTGGTATCATCTTTCAAATGTCCATGCTGCTTCTAAATTTAGAAATTGTTATATCATGTAAGTGATCCTCAAGACAGTAAAATATATCATATCGTTTCAAAGGTAACTTGCTACTGACTTGTCTCACTGTACAGTCATTCATTCATAATTATAACCGTACATTGTTTGTTACAGATCTTCTAAAACGTTCCAAGCCCTCCAGGATAGTAATCGTCGCCTCAGAACTGTACCGCTTCGCAAGTTTAGACCCAACCAAAATCAATCCACAGTCCTCATGGTTTCCACCGTACCTCTACTATGTTTCTAAGTACGCCAACATCTGCTTCACTGCAGAGCTTGCCAGGAGATTGGAAGGAACTGGAGTTACAGCCAACTGTCTGCATCCAGGAATGATAGACTCTGGAATTTGGAGGAATGTTCCTGCACCTTTTAGTTGGTTGGTGCAAATGGTAGTTAAAGGTAGGAAGGCTGATGTTAGTCAATTTTTTGTCGTACCTTCGGTTGAGTCAGATTGCGTTAGTGACAAAGTTACTTGACATTTATTGAACGGTGTGTCATGAAAAAATGTTGATTAGCTTTTGATTGCTTTTAGAAGATCAATAATTTTTGAGCAATGTAAATGGAGTTTATCTTAAACTACACTTGGTTATGACAGACCGTCTGAGTCCCCTTGAAATAATACCTTAAAAACATGAATGGAGAAGTAAGTCGGTATTGGCGAGGGATATAATGTAGAACAATAATGACATACTCTAGCGAGATATTTGAGGATTCCTTTCACCACTAGCACTGATATATTATATACTAAGAGAAATGTTTTCCAACCTCGGTCATACCGGATGCACAGGGAACAATGAAATGGAACAGTTGGAAGGTTAGGTAAATATGAGCCCCCCAAAGACCCTCCGTGGCTCGTCAATTTAAAAGCATTTTTGGACGGGAGGGGGGGTAGGTGCGATAGAGATAGACTTACCCATGTCGAAGCATGCGCAGTAGGTCCCTTTTTCATGTTGCCCAACGAGCAAAACCGATAGATGATGATCAATTTCTTTTGCATACTTCGCTGGGCTGGCAAAAGGTTGGCGGCCAATTGTTTATCAAAGACAATACTTTGCCTACCGCGCTTTAGGACTTTATGTCATCGGCTCTCCTATAAATATTGTTTTTGATAAGCAACTGGGCGCCAAGATTCTGCCCAATTGAAAAATCGATCATCTACTGTTTGAGCTTGCTTTTTCCTTCTAACACGTAGGGAGGATTCCCGTGCTGGCAAAGGGGAGGGAGCGAACTGAGACGCGATGAGCAAGGTGAAAGGGGGAGGGGGTAGGTCAGCCAACCACACAGGTTTCAACATGGGCTGGCCCGTCTCTATGATTTAAAAAAAATGCTTCTAGCAGATGAGCGACCTATTCATTGACCCCTGAAAATCGCAATCCGCCAACCGCTTCGTTTCATTGATGCCCGTTATGATAGGGGTTTTCCGATTTTCAACCCCCTATTTATAGTAAGGTGTCATTGCTTCCTATCCCAACAAGCGGTATGCAGTCACAACTCTCATGTTTCACCGCCTAATACCATCCGACTTTCTTATCGTTGCAAGGTACGATAGATCCGCAATGGTCCTCAGATATAGGTTAAAAGAGCAATCAAACAAGTAGTCTCATAAAAAGAAGTAAACACTTGTTGGAAGAATATATGAGTATTACGCTCTATGGATTCCTTTAGCATCTCATGGGTAGACAAAACTGCTGCTTCAATTTCGGCTCTCGGTATGTTACGCATTGCAATACGAATCCGGTTTTTCATGTCTTCTCTGGTTGTAGGTTGAGTCTGAAACAGAATGTCCTTTAACCGTCCCCATGAATAAAAATCAAGACAAGTTAAGTCAAGTGACCGCCAAAGCCATGGAAATAGACTTCCTCTTCCAATCCACCGCTGTAATATGCTCTCGCACAATAATAGCAAAATGTGCTGCAAAAACAAGTTTTGCCGTGTCTCCAGTGGCGCATCTTCCAACAACAACAATAACTGATTGCTGAAAAAATCAAGACATTGCCATTTAGGGATTGTTCGAAAAGATATGGCCCAATAATATTCTGCCTTCCAGTATGCCACACCACATATTTAGACTCGACAAATGCGGATTTTCTGCAGACCAATAATGCATATTGTGCAGACTGACTGTCCCGTCACTATTAAAGATGGCTTCATCGGTCCAAAGAATTTGAAATAAAAATTCTCTATTTTGCGTATCATGCCTTACAGCCAATGGCAATTGTCCAACCTACCATTAAAGTCTTACTCATTCAAGGCAAAACGACATGATATGGGTGCACTCTAAATGTAATTAAAAAAAGTTAAATTTAAATAAATCACTATATTTTGATGGCCACTAGAAATTACCTATGGTTCTTCAAAATATGTTGAACCGTGGTTCGTGATATGCCCAACTCAAGGGATAATGCCTTTGTTAGGATTTCCTTCAATATAATACATAGTGAATATGCATCTAAACAAAAAATATGCCTCTTGTTATTAACATTACTTGCTTACCCTTTAGCGATATTTTGTAATATTTTCAAAAAGGGTAATTTTATTATCGTCTGATGAATAAAAAATTGTTTCAGAAAAATTAGTTTAAAAATAAAATTTTAAAGGATTTCCGTATACAATTTTCTTTCGCCTAAATTCACACATGTAAGCAGAGGTTATTGTTCAGAATATTTAGGAATTGCAACTAGTGTAAGCACACTTAAATGCGATTTATAAACATGATATAATACGTCAGGTCATGGCTCAGTGCGAATCTAGATTAAAGAAACTGTGTATGTTGAATTTGGACGGGTTACATCGTGTACCCAGTATAAGTGAAAAACCTTTCTTTTAACAGATCGCCTAGCGTTTTGCGTCATGGGATCTTAGACCATTACTATGTTAATTTGATTAGATAAATAATTTTTCATTCGGTAACGCTGTCAGCTCAAATTGACCAATTGTCTGCAGTCTTTCCTCCGCAGGACTATCAAGTCTGCCAATTTTTAAGAAAATGGTATATATTGCCAATAAAGGTGCGAAAATAAAACAATAAAAAAATATTTCCAATAAAGCTGCTACATACGTTTATCATTTTTTCGCCCATTTTCAAGTCCTGGACTTTCAAGCCAACAAAACGATGAGATACATTGGTATGATCCGCAACAATAACAGCTAACATTCGTTATTGACCTAGGACTGTTATCATGATTGTTACTAGACTGGCGATTCTGAAGTGTAAACAAGTAATAAATATAATAACATATTTTTAGAAGGAATTAACATTGAATTTGTTGAAGAAACAAAAAATTTGGGAATAGTACTTGATAAGAATTTAAGTTTTGAAAGTCACATTATAAATAAGCTCAGAATATGTTATTATAAATAAAAATCGCTATGGAGATATAAGTATATATTAACAAGTGATATCAAACTAAAACTTGTTAATCCATTAATCCTCGCACATTTAGATTATTGTAGTACTGTATATTACCCTTTTATCACTGAGGAAATGCAACAGAAAATTCAGGTTTTACAAAACCATTGTATGAGGTTTTGTTTCAATGAGATAAACAGACGCGAACACATTACTGGGTATTATGTAAGGGAAAATATTTTAAAGTTCAAATATCGCTCGTTACTTCTCTATGCTGTTCTACTATTTAGGGTTTTAAATATTTTTTTGACACATTAGAGAAAAGATCTTCACTCCATCAACTGTTCCTCCGTAATGAATATTGTTATAATATACCAGCCCACACTACCTCGATAGCTCATAGCTCATAGCTCCCAGTATACTAAATGATTACCCAAGTTTCTTTAAATTAACGTCAATTCACAGCCTCAAAAGAGAATTCAAAAGAATGCTATTACAGTTGCAATTTAATGAATCTACAAGTGGCTGAATAAATCTCATTATTAATCTTATTATATTATTATTAAGATTTGTTAGCATTATTATAGTCAACTACATATCCTTAATGTAATGTATATGATATACCCTAGTAAGATATAGTAATGCACCTAATGAATTTACCTTAGCTATTCAGGCGGGGGTGAAAAATGGCTATGCCAATCCCCAGCCCTTTGGAGTATTATTTTTTATTATTATTATTATTACTTAATGCGGTAAATAATGGCGATTTTAAAGGGTAGAGATATATTGAAAGTAAAATATAAATTGGGATCTTAGCTGTAATCAACAATTTTTCCGTTGAAAATCGGAAAGATACGTAAATCTATCACTTCGTCAAAAGGAGCACGTACGATACCCATTCTCTCAAATCGATTCCCCGATATATATTGGTATAATTTCATATTATTGTTCAGGCACTAAACATCAGATTTGTCAATTTTCAATGTTTGTAGATCTTGTCTATCCGAAAATATATTTTACCGAGGTTTTTCAGGTTAAGATACTTGGTTATACGGTCTAGGTACCTTCTTGAAAAGCGTCGGTGATATAAGAATTGCAAAAATGTTCGCTTTATAATTACAATAGCCGCTATGCTCCTTTGTCGCGTGTATCCATAGTGATTGAAACCAGTTTGAAGCATCACTAATACGGGGGAATTTCCGTGACAATCAATCTGATCCTTTCCTTGTCCGTACTTTGTACTTTGACTGTAGAAATCTCAGCACCAGAAGCAATATAAAAAGAAGTGGACCACTGTAAAAGAAGTATGCTGCAGATAATCCTCTGCCGCAATGAGCATTTTATTGTTCCACCGTAAAATAGAGATAAAAGCGTCTCTCGGTTGGAATAAACGACTTCTTTCGGTCCTCTGAGGTTCCAATCGTAAATTAATTTATTACCCCAGATCTCTGTTTACTTTCGGATCGAGGGTGATCGCCCGCAGACTTCTTATCGACAATGATGTATTTCCAGTACTTAGTACTAGAAAAGCTATTATGTTTCCTCCTTTTTCGACCACGTGTCCTTTGGTTTCTCTTCCTGACTAATTCATTAAGCGTCTTTAGAAATAAGTTCGATCTTTTAGTATGAGGTCAGAAAGGAAGTCTCAGAATAAAAGGTCAATCTCTCAGACGCGGGGAGATCTTAGGCCCCAAGGCAGAGCCCCTCTGACGTTGATAAACATTGAAAACTGTGTAGGGAGCATGTTGCTTAGACATTTTGTTGGAAATGAGGGAGATCCATAAGGGCAGATTTTGGCCCGATAGAATTTTGATCGAAAAAAGCGTTTTTTCGTATATAAAATAGCTGGATGATTCACCACAAGGCTTGAGGTTAAGTTCCGAAAAAGTCATTCAGTATATTTTAAGTCGATGTAGTACGTTATCACGTATTTTGTACTTAGTCATCATGCTTATGGGTTTTCGGAGTCACCACATATGATATCAGTTTGTATGTCTCAGGTCATTTGGAGGTCTTTTTGAGGTCTATCACTATGCTTAATCAATCCACC